AGAACAGAGTTAGTTAGTTAGTTCTCACCAGAACACTAGAGAACAGAGTTAGTTAGTTAGTTCTCACCAGAACACTAGAGAACAGAGTTAGTTAGTTAGTTCTCACCAGAACACTATAGAACAGAGTGAGTTAGTTAGTTCTCACCAGAACACTAAGAACAGAGTTAGTTAGTTCTCACCAGAACACTATAGAACAGAGTGAGTTAGTTAGTTCTCACCAGAACACTAGAGAACCAGAGTTAGTTAGTTAGTTCTCATCAGAACACTAGAGAACAGAGTTAGTTAGTTAGTTCTCACCAGAACACTAGAGAACAGAGTGAGTTAGTTAGTTCTCATCAGAACACTAGAGAACAGAGTTAGTTAGTTAGTTCTCATCAGAACACTAGAGAACAGAGTTAGTTAGTTCTCACCAGAACACTATAGAATAGAGTTAGTTAGTTAGTTCTCACCAGAACACTATAGAACAGAGTTAGTTAGTTAGTTCTCACCGGAACACTATAGAATAGAGTTAGTTAGTTAGTTCTCAGCAGAACACTAGAGAACAGAGTGAGTTAGTTAGTTCTCACCAGAACACTATAGAACAGAGTTAGTTAGTTAGTTCTCACCGGAACACTATAGAATAGAGTTAGTCAGTTAGTTCTCACCAGAACACTAGAGAACAGAGTGAGTTAGTTAGTTCTCACCAGAACACTATAGAACAGAGTTAGTTAGTTAGTTCTCACCAGAACACTATAGAACAGAGTTAGTTAGTTAGTTCTCACCAGAACACTATAGAATAGAGTGAGTTAGTTCTCACCAGAGCACTAGAGAACAGAGTGAGTTAGTTAGTTCTCACCAGAACTGTAGTAGATAACAAACATGAGGGTCGACACAGTTTGAGAGTAATGTGATGATCTAAGAAATGGGGTAAAAAAATCACAAACAAAAGATGTTGCGATAGAGAGTAAAAACGTTCTCGTACAGATAATGAAGAAATGGAACTTAGTATATCAAGAAACAATTGACCAACAGTACGGAAAGTAAATAAACGAAGACAACAGGAAAGTGTAAATGTTGTTGGGTAAATGAACAACGACAGTCGAACGAGTAAAAGTTTTATTAATATTAAATGATATTACTACAAAAAATAAGTAGAATATAAAAAAATCAATAACATTTATTACAAAATTTTAAGATTTCTAGTTAGTTGATTATCGATTCATTAGCAAAGTGATCATCAATAAGTAAAAAAGATGCAGACAGGTTATGGAATAATGGTTTAACCATAAAAACTAGAACATTTGTGGTGTTTCCACCTTATAATTAATGACCTCTTACTTTAAAAAAGATGATTTTTTGACAAGTATGCTGACACACACACACACACATACAACTTATACAATCATAAGTATACACGGTTCATCCAACAAATTATGCTTGCATACGTTATAAACCAGTTATTTTGTTACAGTATCTTATCACTTGCAAGAGATTGAACCTGAAAGTTGTGACAACAAACCATACACGTGTTTGTCTTAGCTCTATCAAAGTTTGTCTTTTGAGCTGATACCACTACAGATCACTCTGAAACATTATCAATCAATTAAAACAGTCAGAAAGTATATCATTTGTGACATAAATCTTGATAAAAAAAAATAGTTTTTTTTCAATCCAAATTCTGGTGGTTAGAAAAAAATCAACATTTTTCTGACCTAGAATTTAAAGAACAAAGAAGTTATATTAACGAACATTTTTCAAGTCACGTTACAGACATCATATACTCACTTACGTTTGTTAAAATTCACAAGCAACAAATAATAGTAGTTAATAACAAAACACAAACGATGGTGCCAAATCTTATTACCAATAGCAAACAATAAACAAACTCGTTAACCTTTACAAAAACTAGTCATACAGTGACACAATGCCCTCTGGTTGATTAAAACTCTGAAAGAGTCCAAAAGATCTTATAAAAATTTACATTATTTTAACTGTTTATTGAGAAACAAAATGACAAGGTGTATGTGTTAGTTCCTGAAAATACAGGATACTTTACCTACATTATATGTCCAGTGTTCTTTTTATGTATCAAACGTCAAATTTAACAGTAGTTCAATAAACCAAAGTATTCTTGGAATATGTTTAGATTATTACATGTAAAACCCTGACAAAATAACTAGTGAAAATCCTGTTTTATTAATTAATTAATTGGGCTTTGGTTAATTAGCGAACCTTCTAAAATCACTTAACAAGACAAGAACAATCTAAAACCATTTTGTAAACACTGATAAAAATGTTTTTGTACTGGGAGTTATTTCTTTCAAGCAACAAGTATTCATAAGATAAATCTTATTTACTGTGATATGCTTCGAGTTTCCAAACTTCAAATTTCATATTTACTTCTACGGACAAAAATAAAGATAAATCCAAAAATTAGCTTTTTTTTTTTAGTGGAATGCTAATGAGTTACACAAATATTCCTCTCACTTC